CAACTCCCTTTACTATCTAGGTTATTTCTCTGTTTAACCATTCCTCTGATTCTCTTCTGAATCCTACTAACGACCATAGGACCTATATCATATAATCAGTAGAGTTTAAACATATTTATTTTTTACTTTTGGTAATCATGGTTTGATAGATATTGTTTTTTAGGCTATTCTTTTTTCTTGTGGAGGTCTCGTGTGGGTCCTGGTATATGCCCCTCCACACCGGCACATGGGGGATACTTATTTTTTGCACTTCAGAATGACCTTTTGGGCCTTTTCCACCCTATCTGGTTCATTCTCATTTATGGGAGTTCTGGAGCTAATACTATCTTCATACAGTTTGTCTGTATCTATCAGGTTCGATTACAGAGCAAACATGGTCATAAATATATTATATATGCTATATTTCATGTATTTGAATGTTAATGTATGTTTTTTAATGTTTTATTTGCAGCTAGCAGCTTTAAATCCTCCTGAAGAAGCAGGCACAAATTCCTGCAAAACATGTTGAGGAACTACAATCCAATTCGGAACTGAATAAGTTCAGAGCGCATGCTCCAGGAATAATACATGTAGGACCAGACTATTGTATGTTAGTAACTGTTGTTAGTGTCATGGGTATTCACCTGTATTGTTTTTCTCCATTTTATTTACTTTTAATATTAGTGTCTTGTGTGCACCTCAAAAGTCCATATGCAGAGTTTCTCCACAAATTTTGGATGTGGGAACCCACTTATTGTTCCAGGATCAGAACCACTACCATTTTATGCCCATCTAAGGTCAACATGTGTTACAGTACAGTCGCTTCTTCAGGACTGTGCCAAACGTATATGCAGTACAGTATATCTCAAAGTTGAATAAATAGTGGGTTATTCCATCTTAGCATCAGTAGTGCAGCTCCAATAGAAGTAGTAGGTCTTGATCAGGCATAAAATAAAACCAGAAAAATTCACATTGACGCCCCTCAGGGAAAACAGGGGCACTCAAAAACGATATACCCAAATACCACCAAAGCAAGCCCCCCACTAAAAGATGTCCCTAGGTGGGCTATGTGCCTTCCGGCCTGAGGAGGGAAATTCCCTTGACCTTAGATGGTCATACATTTATGATTACACTTATTTTTTAATTGTCATGACTATTTGTGCAGATTTTATGTTTGATACACGGTACAACTACATTTTAAGACTTTATCTAATAAACAGTATGTTTTTTTATGGAACTTAAGTTTGTGTTAGAAAAAAGTGTTGTTATAGTTCTATGGAGGTTAAAAGTCTCTAACCGTTATGTAGGATCTTTACTTTTTTGTAATTATTTTGAGATGGTGTATATGTATATATATATATATATATATATATATATATCGCGCAGCCACTGATAGACAAAAGTTTTCCAGCCTGATCTTTAAACAGCAATCGAACAAGCATTCAACTTCTGTTGAGTAGGGATGACCACACACTGATCGATAATCGTTCTTACCCTGCTGAGCCAGACAAATTTCAGTCCCTCTGTGGACAGTTTTAAAGGTAAGTTGACCTTTTTTAAAAAAGATAAAAATAAATGCACATCTTTTTGCAGGTAAAAAATGTGTATTTACTTATTTTTTTATTAGGAGCCTGCAGATCATTGCACCCAAATCAGCAGATCGTGGGTGCAATGCAGGGCACCTGCACACTGTCAGAGTAAGCCTACTGCTCGGTAGCATCCCCAGCTCTGCCAATGCCCCACTCAGTAGTACCCCCAGCTTTGCTGATACCCCACTCAGTAGTAACCCCCAGTTCTGTTGATCCCAGGCTTAGTAGTAATCTGTAGTTCTGCCGATCCCCCACTCAGTAGTAACCTCCAGCTCTGCTTATCCTCTGATTTGCTGATCTTCCTTTCTCTCTGGTCCCTGCTCACCTTCCGCCATATTGCTCCCAAGTTTTGCCCCACAAGTAACATTGCAAGTTTCTCCAGTCTCTCAGCTCTGCTTCTGATCCTCTGCTGCTCAGTCCTCTCTCTCCGGTCCTCACTTACCTTCCACTATAGCGTTCATGTTGCAAACCACATGCGCTGTCTGCTAGTTGCTCCACTCCAGTCCAGACCCCATTCACCTTCCTGCTGCTCCTCACTGCATAACAAATGTTACATCTGCACTAGACACTTCCAGAATATATACACTTGAACCAGAGGTGACTGCTGATGACATCTTTCCGGCTCACTTGTTGGTTTCCAAATGCATCCTGGGATATCTCATACCTGTAATACCTCCAAAAATAAAGCAAAGCTAACTCTGAATAAAAGCCCCCTCAAAAGCTGCTGGTACTGTTAATGAACTATGTCATTCTATGGAGCACTATGTCTTCTATGGAGGCTTTGGAGATGCTCTGAAGCACCAAGAAAGTGACATGGGGTATAATTTTTAGAGCGAAGCAAAGAAAACGCAATATGTACACAGGACTGTTAGCTTATATTTAGTGAAAGGGGCTTTGATTGCCATTCAGAGAGCTTTAAAAAAAGGGTGTCCAATTAAACATTTTGTGGGAAGCACAGTGGCTAAATGGTTAGAACTTTCGCCTGGCAGTACTAGGGTCATTAGTTCGAATCCCAGCCAGAGTTTGCATGTTATCCCTGTGCCTGCGTGGGTTTCCTCCGGGTACTCCGGTTTCCTCCCATACTCCAAAGACATGCTGGTAGGTGAATTGGATCCTGTCTAAATTGGCCCTAGTATGTGAATGTATGAATGTAAGCTAGGGACCTTAGATTGTATGGCCCTTGAGGGTTAGGGACTGATGTGAATGTACAATATATATGTAAAGGCTGCATAAATTGACGGCGCTATATAAGTACCTGAAATAAATAAATAAATAAATGAAGCAAGTGTAAAGGAGCCCTAGGGCTAGCCAGTCAACTTGGGTGGGGAGGTGATTCAAGCTACCAACTAGCTTAAGAAGTATATAGCATAACTCCATTCAAAGTTCATTAATAGGAACTGGTACATCTACATTCATTAAGTAAAAGAACAAACCCAAAAACTATTAACAGAAACAATCAAAGCCAGGGGCCACAAATGGTAAATGAAAACTCTTGAACGGTATGCTATATGGAAACGTCATGAAGCCAGTCCAAGGCAACCATGATTTGCAGAGGCACACTGGCGCACTTGACCCTCTGGTCAGTGAGGATGAGTGCGGAACCCGAGCATGAAGAAGAAATACAACAGCATAAAGATTTCAAATAAGAATGTAACCATTGAGACAATTCAAATATGTTTGGAATTATAATAGATCATTCTTCGGTTTCTTGTGAAAGCATTGAAGGTCTTCTTGGTATTGTCATTACATTGAAATGTACATCTGTAACATTCCAGTACCAGGAGACAAAAATTCAAGAAGGCATTTTGAAAACTTTTTTTTTTCAGATATATCTTTTCTTCCAAGAACCTTGACCCTAGAGCAGACTCTTAATACTGTGACAACAACATAACACAGTGATTACTATGGCGTAATGAAAATTGGTGTGCTGGAGTACAGGTCCTGGTAGGTCTCCCTGAGTTTTGTTCGGACAAGTGTTGTTCTGATCTTTTTTGACCTAAAACAAAACAAAGACACCATTAAGAAATCTGTTCTGAAAGAAGGCAGGCGAACAACAGCTAATGGACATATTGCAAAAGAATTTGTAGTGCATTGACGAGTCTTCCAAGGTTTTAAGTGCTAAGTGTACTGTTAGGTTAAAAGTGAAACAGCCTTGAATTGAAAGTAAATTTTGAACTCACTCACCCCAACGTGGACCACAAGTGAAAAATATTAAGTCTTTGTTTAGTCAGTTTTCTTTGCTAAAAAAAATTGTTTACCCATTCATTTTATACTTACTGTTTAAATATTTTTGTACAGCAATGGAATCACACGTTTCGTAGTTAAAGAAACAGTCTGAGAAGCATTATTGTGTAAACTGGAGTTACAGTATATAACATAATCCCAGCAAAATGTCTGAAAAAAATAATCTGTTTTATGGAAAAAATAAATTGATTATGGTCCTCACATGCCTCGAATAGTCAGTGACATATGGAGGTAGTCACAAAATTAGGTGCTATTCTATCCTTCTCAGTATGTATGAGTAATCAGCGGTGGACTTTGTACAGACACAGCTGTCTTCAAATGATTCCACAGAGACCCTGTCACCAGATTATTCAATTTCAACCACAATCATCCCATAAAATCAGGGGCGGACTGACAAGTCATGGGGTCCCCGGGCAATAGGGGATCATGGGGCCCCTGTGTCCTTGCCCAAACTCAAAAAAGCCTATGAAAAAGGTACCAGGGGCATCTCATGGGGCCCCCTACTGACCCCGGGCCCTCGGGCAGTGCCCGAGTTTCCAAATGGTCAGTCCGCCCCTGCATAAGATTATTTGTTCATTTAACATATTTTAGACATGTTATTTATCTGTAAAAGCCTCCCTTGTGTGGACATCCAAAATCCCTGAGACTGCTGCTGGTTCTGGTATTACAGGTGTTTATATAGCTCTGTCAATTTACACAGCACTTTACACATATATTTTGTACATTCGCATCAATCCCTAACCCTCAAGGAGCTTACAAGCTAAGGTTCCTTACTCACATTCATACATACAGTACACATTCTAGAGCCAAATTAGACAGGAGCCAATTAACCTACCAGCATGTCTTTGGAATGTAGGAGGAAGCCGGAGTATCCACAGGAAACCTACGCAGGCACAGGGAGAACATGCAAACTCCAGGCAGGTAGTATCATGGTTGGGATTCGGACCGACAACCCTAGTGCTACTAAGCAGAAGTTGTTCTAGCAAAAAGAAGAAGGGCAGGGATTTGTACTAGTTGGCACCAAACATCAGGCATTCACAAGCCCCCTTACAACTTTAGTGACCAGTTCTGTACACATTCAGGCTTTGAGATTATAAGTAGACTCCCATAGTTCTGGGACATAGTGCTCATAGTAATACTGAGGAAATGAGATCAGATGGGTGCATACCAGGGGCGGACTGACAACTCATGGGGCCCCCGGGCAATAGGAGATCATGGGGCCCCTGTGTCCTCACCCACACTCAAACCACACCCAAAAAAGCCTATGAAAGGTACCAGGGGTATCTCATGGGGCCCCCTACTGACCCTGGGCCCTCGGGCAGTGCCCGAGTTTCAAAATGGTCAGTCCGCGCCTGCATAAGATTATTTGTTCATTTAACATATTTTAGACATGTTATTTATTTGTAAAAGCCTCCCTTGTGTGGACATCCAAAATCCCTGAGACTGCTGCTGGTCCCCATCATCTTCGATGTGATGTCAGCATCTCCAGCAGTCTCAGAGGTGTCACTCTTTGTACCTCCATCAGTAGCTACCTAAAATGTTATGCAGGGAGGTGAAGGGAGGGTGTTGAGGAGCTGGGCAAAACAGGCAATACTTAAGCTCCATACACACAATGAGAATATTGGATGAATGATCATCCATTTTATTTTTTGCATGCTAGTCTCATATCGAAAGTGAAGAGGTTACTAAAGTTACGAAAATTCTTGTACAACAGAAAGAAAATTTGGAAGTGATGTAATGTATTGTATTTTCGGATGAAAACTGTGCTGATTAAATGAAAATTGTACTAGTATTGTACAAGAAACATTTCCGTGCTTGTCCCTTCAAATAATTTCAGATGAAAGCTGTGTACTAACGATCAGATTATCATATGATCTCTTCAAAAGCGGTATTTTGTGTACATTTTCTGATCACGTGTACTAGGCGTTAGGCTCTCCCAGAAGAGAAGAGGGCTTTGACATGCAAGGAGAGAGGTCTGTTCTAGGGAATTGACTCTTCCCTAAAGAAGTCAAATTTGCCAGCAGACGCAAAGGCTCATTGCAAGTAAATGAAAATGATTTATAGAATGGAAATTTTCAGAAAGTTCATATTTAAAATATTTAATTTTTCTGTGCCTTTACCTCCAATTTTTTTTTAGGTTGTTGACAAGAGTCCTGCCTAATAAGATGTACAAAAAAACTCTCCTGTATGTACCAGGGGCGGACTGACCATTCAAGAACTTGAGCACTGCCCGAGGGCCCGGGGTCAGTAGGGGGCCCCATGAGATGCCCCTGGTACCTTTCATAGGCTTTTTTGGGTGTGGTTTGAGTGTGGGCGAGGACACAGGGGCCCCATGATCTCCTATTGCCCGGGGGCCCCATGAGTTGTCAGTCCGCCCCTGGTATGTACCCATCTGATCTCATTTCCTCAGTATTACTATGAGCACTATGTCCCAGAACTATGGGAGTCTACTTATAATCTCAAAGCCTGAATGTGTACAGAACTGGTCACTAAAGTTGTAAGGGGGCTTGTGAATGCCTGATGTTTGGTGCCAACTAGTACAAATCCCTGCCCTTCTTCTTTTTGCTAGAACAACTTCTGCTTAGTAGCACTAGGGTTGTCAGTCCGAATCCCAACCATGATACTACCTGCCTGGAGTTTGCATGTTCTCCCTGTGCCTGCGTAGGTTTCCTGTGGATACTCCCGCTCCCTCCTACATTCCAAAGACATGCTGGTAGGTTAATTGGCTCCTGTCTAATTTGGCTCTAGAATGTGTACTGTATGTATGAATGTGAGTAAGGAACCTTAGCTTGTAAGCCCCTTGAGGGTTAGGGATTGATGCGAATGTACAAAATATATGTGTAAAGTGCTGTGTAAATTGACAGAGCTATATAATCACCTGTAATCAATAAATAAATAACAACAGCTCTCCTGCTTGGATCCCTGACCTTCAACCATTTCTCATGATATCTCCAGTCATTAGACTTTTTATTCCAAAGAAAAGAATGTACACAAAAGAGAAAAATATTTGCTGCACTTTATTGGTGTTACTTTTGAAGATTGCACACTATAGTCACATCACGTAGACATACTATCCGGGGTCATTCGACAGTACTTTCTGTCTCACATATAGTGGACGATCCCCAGCAGTCACATGTGAAAGCAGCATACAACACTTCACCCTTAAGCCATTTTCCTTTTTTACAGCTTCCTTCCCAGGGTCATTAGTACTCATCAGAGGGCTTTGGCGTGCCTTGGGCTGTGTCCAGCTCATGACTCCCTGCTTGTTGTTTCAGAGACATGGTCACTGCAGCTGCACCTGTAGCTCAGTACAATTCTCCCAGGTGTATAGACTCACTTCCGATATCAATTGACATGGCCTAAAAAGCCATTTACAACCCGCTCTAGTCTCCACCACCATAAGAGACAGAATGACTACAGCTGGCTCTTCTGGATGCAGAACTATTTCCCTCTATTCTCCAGCCTTGTCCAGGGACCCTGTACAAAATGACTACATCAGCACAATGTGTAGTGCCTGGCTTCCATGCGCCAACTGCACTAAAGCTCTGCCCAGCCTGGCTTATATATGGGCACTGACTCACCCATGATATCTCTACAGGAGGGCTCTACGTAAAAAGGACCTAGCGCCTGAATATATTATTCTCTGTCACCACACATTATTCTGGGGCAGAGCCATGTAGTGACAGACCAGCTAACTGCACCTGCTACAAGGTTCTCTAGTTGGATGAGCAAAAAAAATGAAATGGGTAGGCCTAAACTACAAGGGCAGGTTTAAAGTGCTTGTAAACCCAAGATTGCATGAAAAAAAGGCTTCCTCTCCTCATTCTGCATGTCATTTTACAGCCATTCTTATTTATTTTTGAGAAGTACTGTATGTTAAATATTTGTTGATTATGTGTACGTGCTCCTTTTCTGATTAAAAGATGACAATGATAACCATAGGGTATGAATTCTGTTCTGTGTTAGGATTGTCATCCCGGTGTATGCACCCCTGCATGCTAACTACAGGATGATCTACCAATGCACAATGTTCTTACAGTCCTCTATAGTCAGCCTGTAACATCATAGTCAGCTTTACCTCTCAGCCTGCCTAGGTCTTGGATGTGACAGCAGATATTCTTGATAAAAATCTGCTGACGATTTTTCTCAGGATGATGAAGACGAAACGAGAGTGGACATTTCAGCAAGACGATGATCCCAAACACAAAGCCAAGGAAACTCTCATTTGGTTTCAAAGAAAGAAAAAAAAGCTGCTAGAATGGCTCAGCCAATCACCTGACTTGAATCCAATAGAAAATCTATGGAAAGAACAAAAGATCAGAGTTCATAGAAGAGGCTCACGGATCCTTCAAGATTTGAAGACTGTTTATGTGGAAGAATGGGCCCAAATCACACCTGAGCAAGGCATGCCACTAGTTTCTCCATACAGGTGGAGTCTTGAAGCTGTCATACCAACAAAGGATTTTGTATGAACTATTAAATAAATTTCAGTTTGCGTGTTCAATATTTTTTCTCTGCGTCATTCCATTTTATTACACATAACCTAATTTCTGAATATGTTTGTTTTAGTTTCCTTGTATGTATGGAATGCATGGGTTGTTACCGACATGCAGTGAAAATTTCATGTCAATAGCACCTTTAGAAATATATTTACAGAGAAAAAGGGTGGTATGTTCAATACTTATTTTATACTGTACTGTACATGTGTGTGTGTATGTATATATATATATATTTTTTTTTTTGTTATTGTTTTTGAATGCAGAAAACAACACACAACTCAAAAATAAGTTCCAAGATCAAATGATTCCCTAGAAGAGCTTACCATGGTCAGGTGAGAACCTATTATGCCCTGCCATGCCTCCTCTGTCAGAATTAGCATATCACGACACCATTGAGATTTACTCTATGTTAGTCTCTTGGTCTTATAATAAAGTAAGGACAAAAAATATGCAGATATTCATTTACGGTTCCCTAGCCTAACAAGACATTTTTCCAGGTTAGAAACAAGCAAGCGAAGTGACATTAATCAGACCAAACTATGCTTATTTGTCATTAATTTACTATTTTTTGCCCCGATTTTGTCCTTTGTTCATATGTCCTTTGGTCTGATATAGTAGTTCCATTCTAAGAGAATCATTGCAGCTTATCAGTCAATAATAAAGCTGTTTATAGATGATGCAATTTTCTTTCCTGTGACCACAGATTGCAGGAAAGAAAATCTCTTGATTCTCCCATCAACACAGTAAGTGTTGATAGGGGAATCCCTCTCACTGATCTATTGTGTTCTCTCAGCAGGGGAGGGGTAGGGGTGAGTGGCCATCCCTGCTGGGAGAACACAGTGATTATTGCTATGGCCACTGACATTAGTTGCATGAAAAATCTGACAGGCTGGTTGTACAACAATCGACTTGGGTGCAATCAGCCTGCCCATAGATGGCTCGAATCTCGAACAGTCCCTACTGAACCAACTCAGATTCAAACCATCTATGGCCAGCTTAACTCTTCCACTGTATCTATGAAGGAAACCATGACTGCCACTCTGGAATTCGAACATGTCTTCCTCCCTTCATTTTATTACATGGGGGTGCAGAATTAGTAGCTTACAGAAAGAAGATAAGACTGTACTTTCTTTCATTTCTTCCAATGTCCTTAGCCTGAAAAAAATCAATGCAGCCAGCACATTGTATAATCGATAAGCTGTAAATACACAATTTTTTGTTTCTGGGTTCAAATATCCTTTGATGGATATTTAGCCTGATTCATCAAAACATGATACAATGGCCAGCATAAGAGATAGCTTTACTATCTCATTTCCGTTTAACATGCCTGAAGTGCTACTATACACTTACCAGCCACTTTATTAGGTACACCTTGCTAGTATCGGGTTGGACCCCCTTTTGCCTTCAGAACTGCCTAATTCTTCATGGCATAGATTCAACAAGATGTTGGAAACATTTCTCAGAGATTTTGGTCAATATTGGCATGAGTTACTGTTGCCTTTCTATCATCTTGAACCAGTCTGTCTATTCTCCTCTGACCTCTGACATCAACAAGGCATTTTCGTCCACACAACTGCCACTCACTGGATATTTTCTCTTTTTCGGACCATTCTCTGTAAACCCCAGAGATGGTTGTGCATGAAAATCCCAGGAGATCAGCAGTTTTTTAAATACTCAGACCAGCCCGTCTGGCTTCAACAACCATGCCACGTTCAAAGTCACCTAAATCACCTTTCTTCCCCATTCTGATGATCAGTTTGAACTTCAGCAAGTCATCTTCACCACGTCTAGATGCCTAAATGCATTGAGTTGATGCAATGTGATTGGCCGATTAGCAATTTGTGTTACCAAGCAATTGGACAGGTGTACCTAATAAAGGTAAGTGTATATCCCACTGCTGACTGTATAATGTGGTGATGCTTCCCACTCCTCCTCTATGGAACTAAAGCTGGCCCAACTAACGCAGTCTGAATGAAAACAAACAAACATATTCCTTCATCCACAGAAGCAAGGTGGATGGATGAATCCCTCCCACCAGGACACTGTATTCTAAGAGTGGGACTCTCCACTGCCAGAATACACTAATCATTGGCTGTAGTTGCTGATCAACAAAAATATTTCAACTTTCCTGTTTGATATAAATTGATCTAACAATCAAAGTCTGTCGAGCAAAGACAGCCATATTTGGATCAAAATTCGGTTGGTCCCTGCTAAACTGGCTGAATTTCGACCATCTTTGGCCATCTTAAGTTGCCAAATCAATGCACAGAAAGTAGCCCTTACATTTCAAAACCATCATTATCTTTTTTACAGGGGTAGTTGCAGAACTGAATAGGTCAAATGATGAGTTTATTATTGCCCCAACACCCCCCTCCACACCCCTAGACGCTCTAACAGCCTCCTGGGTGCTATGGCTATAGTTATGCCTTTTTAAAGAACTTTAATTCAATACATCAGTCATGGATGTAAATACTAAAATGTTAGATATGGGTGGACCTTGAAATAGCCTATCCACCTAAAATTGATAGTTTGCTATGAATTACCAGTGTTTATTGGTGGCACCAGGTCTATATGTATGCAACAATGGCTGTTCTGTTTCCTAATGTTCTACAACAGTTTGAAATAACTACATATAGCAGTCACTTTATACCACTAACATATGCCATGGATCTTTACAGATGATGGAGATGACAATGTCATTTGATTCAGTATGTACTCATCTTACTTGTTCTTCAAGTTGACCTGGTTAAGTCAAGCATAAAATGCATATTGTCATAATTATTGAGGGGCAATCTGGCAGCTAAGGACAGAAAACCAATAATCAATGGCTGCAATATGCTGCTTAATGTGAAGAAGGAAATTAATTAAGCTGAAATGTGTGACTGTAAGTAGGACACACGAAGGAGTCACATGGGGTAGAATAGCACACTATATAGATACATTGATGGGTAAGATGCCAAGGGGACACTGAATGACTAGTTTATTGACCAATTAATTCAGTGAGGCAGACCAGCCCATTTACATACATTGGGATTATTTATAAAAAATTAGACGGAAAAATGTTACCTATAGTTCACAATAAATTCCATTGTTTCCTTTGTTATTTTGTGTTTGAAAACACAAGAGCCTAGGATCTGATTTGTTGCTGTGGCACTAGTGTTCTTTCTCACTGTCAAGTCAAGGCCAGCCAGGTAAAACTGATATTTCAGTATTGTGGAGGCAGTGGTGGTAAGAATAAAGCGATTTTGCAACTAAATTTCCAATTTCAATAGGAATTAAAGTGATATTATAGTCGCTAGCAATAATCATTGTGTTTGTCCATCAGGGACAGCTTCCTGCGCCCCGCCACCGGCAGAACACAATATGTCAGCGGGAGGAATTCACCCATCAACACTGACTGTGATTGCAGTAAAAACTAGCCTTAGTGTTAAGCTTAGGGCTAGCTTTAAGGCTTGGACTCCTTTGTTCCTTAAAGTGGTTGTAAAGGCAGAAGGTTTTTTACCTTCATGCATTCTATGTTAGTGCTATTATAACAAAGTGGAAGCAACTGGGAAGTGACAGAGAGGGGTCAGCGCATGCTAAGGCGCACAGTGCACAAACTGTATGCAGAATCAATAGGTAAACACCCCCAAATTTCATGTGGCCTTCAGATTAGCTCAACAACAGTGCGTAGAGAGCTTCATGGAATGGGTTTCCATGGCCGAGCAGCTGCACCCAAGCCTTACATCACCAAGTGCAATGCAAAGCAACAGATGCAGTGGTGTAAAGCACGCTGCCACTGGACTCAGTGGTGACATGTTCTCTGGAGTGACGAATCATGCTTCTCTGTCTGGGTTTGGCGGTTGCCAGGAGAACGGTACTTGCCTGACTGCATTGTGCCAAGTTTAAAGTTTGGTGGAGGAGGGATTATGGTTCGGGGGTTGTTTTTCAGGAGTTGGACTTGGCCCCATAGTTCCAGTGAAAGGAATTCTTAAGGGCGTAAGCATACCAAGACATTTTGGACAATTTCATGCTCCCAACTTTGTGGGAACAGTTTGGGGACGGCCCTTTCCTGTTTCAACATGACTGCGCACCAGTACACAAAGCAAGGTCCATAAAGACATGGATGAGAGAGTTTGGGGTGGAGGAACTTGACTGGCCTGCACAGAGTCCTGACCTCAACACCTTTGGGATCAATTAGAGTGGGATTGTGAGCCAGGCCTTCTTGTCTGAAATTAGTGCCTGACCTCACAAATGCGCTCCAGGAAGAATGGTCAAACCTTCCCATAGACACACTCCTAAACCTTGTGGACAGCCTTGCCAGAAGAGTTGAAGCTCTTATAGCTGTAAAGGGCGGGCCAACTCAATATTGAACCCTACAGACTAAGACTGGGATGCCATTAAAGTTCAAGTGCGTGTAAAGGCAGGCGTCCAATACTTTTGGCAATATAGTGTGTGTGTGTGTATATATATATATATATATATATATATATATATATATATATATATATATATATATATTTAGCAATTGTTCCACTGCCAGTTTTCCAGTAGTTTTGCTTCTCTGCTTCCTGCCAAAATACACACGAAGAGGTCGTCACTTGCTAATTGTCCCATTTATATAGCTGAACTACGTCATGGAGAGCCCAAAGGGCAAGCATGCAGCAGAAGGGCAAGCTAAGACAACTCTTTATGACACACAGTGCTTCCATAAATTAAATGTCAATCTAGTAGGATTTACATCTCTTATAAGTAAAGTTTGTTTAACAATCACAACTTGAATCAGGTTACATGATACATGAGCAGGGTTAAATATCTCTGGCTGCATATGTTCTAGGTGTTGCTGGGTTTTTTTGTTTGTTTTTTCCTGGGGTTGTTCCCCTTCTTTTTTCCTTTCCTTTTTCATCCTGATCAGAATGCATTGAGATGATTTTCTAAAAAGTGAAGTTTGCAAAGTTCACATAAAACTTTGATACATACTTCCCCCCCCCCCCCCCCCCCCCCCCGAAAAAAACTTTAGCCCATGCTGCTTTTAATCTACAGATCAGCGACCAGCACAGGACCATCAGACAACAGCTGTAATGTGACAAGGCTCACTGTTTTTTGTTCCTTTTCCCTTTCTCTCTGTCGTTTCATTACGATACCTGAATTCTTCTAATTAAAAAAACATCTGTCAGCTGCAGTAATCTATGAAGACCCAGCTTTCTACTCCCTTGTATAATACATAGGAACAGGTGGGAGAAAAGAATGTTTCAGTTATCGTATGATCTTTAGGTTTTTTTTTTCTAACCATATCAATAGATAGTTATGTTCGCCACAAACGTGCGCTCAATAAATAGAAGCGACACATCCGCAGCCATATGGGTGATTTGTCTTTTGTCTCTCGGTCCACAACGATGTTGTTGTGATGTGCGGCTTTGTTTGCTAATTATTGCCTAGAATCTAACATGTAAGATTCTCCAAATGCACTGAGATGTTCGGGACGGAATTGCATTGAGAACGCTATTGTTCAGCTACAATGAGGAACATTCTAATGCAACATTATGTATTGCTATATTGTGTAGGCACTTAATCCAAGTCAATGGGACTTGCGGATTAAGTAATTTAGGATGTAAGTGTTCATTTACATACAACCTTGAATGGTAAGGCATGTAAGGTTTCTGGTTGGCTATAATAGATAAAGAATTTCCCAGCAACTGGAGGTTGTCAGTAATGTAGAAATGTTTACTGCTATGCAGATACTGTATGAATTTATGTGGACAATGCTTGAGGACAATCTTAAAGTATCCTGGGCTTGACTCTTACCAGATATAATATCTGCATCCAATCTGTATGGTCTTGGCTTCCCAGACCCACTGATACTCATCTTGTCAACGCTCTCCCACTGCATCTCCCACTAAAATCCTCAGTGCTTGCTGATGTCAGACACTAGGGGGAGCAGTCAAGTGATTGTGTCTGGGCCTGGCAATTGGCAGTGAGACCTCAGCAATGGCACATTGGTAGCTGTCAAATGCTTCTCCACACCCAGGTATTGTTGCCAGATTCAGGGGAGGAAAAAGTTATCTGGAAGCACTGGCATGGTGAGTATCAGGGATCAGGAGACCCTTTTGCGAAGACACCATTGCTTTGCTCTAAATGGCTTAGGTGACCATTTCTCCTAAGGTGTATGTAAACCATAACAATGGATGGTACTTTTTCATTATCCAGAAGCCAATACTGAGGAACCGTTTACACTGATCTAGTAATGGGTTACCGCTTCCATCATCTGATTGGGTGGCGTGAAATCTGCCAATAGTGATCTCCCACCCTTAGAACCAGTAAGGCTGCTGCAGGGTGGAGAGGCTTGGTTTTGATGCCTGAGTCAGCCTTGTGCGAGGAGAACTTCCTGCTCTTGTTGTTAAAGAGACACTCTCACTGCTCCCACATAACTCCAATCTATACAATCTGATGGACAAATATGTCCCCACCAATATTTTTACTGTTATGTGATCCTCTAGTGATGGAATTTCAATTTGGAACAAAAAAGGAACAGGCGGCTGTATGCTTATTCCAGAGGATTTGCAGCAAGGGTCATGATATAATGATGGAATGGAACACAGGTTGTGCAAATAGCTACTATAATCACAAATAAATAAAATATCCAGACACCCGATTTAAAGTGTCTGAAAGCATGCAGTGCTTTATTAAGGGTTGATTCAGATGAATTGTGAACCACAAATATTAATTTATTAAGTAATTAAATTGCATAACCATTGACCTAGCTATCCAGCTCAGGCCAATAAAAAACATAAAAAACAAACACCTTAATGTATTCATCAGGCATATAGCCAGATGTTAATTTCCACTTATAAAGATCACTACATAACCAAGCACCTGTAAATGGAAGGAAGTTCACTGTTGAAGTCCTTTCTTTTCTGCTACCCCTCTGGAGTGAAATAATGGTCAGTAGCTCTAGCTCTATAAATGATAGGCAAGACTTGAGGATGATATCAGCTCATCGGTTATAGGTTGATCCATATATAACCAAAGGGAAGTTCCTAGACAGATCTGTAAAAAGCACAAACAAATAAAGGGAGGCCTCTGTACCATCCCATTTGATCCTCCTCTATTCAATTTGGTCCCATGACATTACGCTTCCAAGAGGCTCCTATGTTGAGGTGTAACTTGAGGATCTGCAGGTCCAGTGTGAGAATCAGAATGCCAACTGGAGTAGGATAGCCTTCCTCACAGCAGTGCGAATTATTTATTGTCAGTGGCAGGTGTTAACTTCCAAAGCATGGTGTGAGAAGCAACTGAAGATGAGTCACGCTATGGCAGGGGAATGGAGGAATTTTATGAGGAAACCGTGCATCATAGAACTATGTGAGAAAATAAAAGAAGCAGATAAAATCATGAGACTCTGTTCATGGTGAGGAAAAATAATGCAGGTCATGTGCTCCCAAAACAAAGGATTTTAGGGGTAATTTGCAGGCAGTTGAGGAACGGTTCTTCATTCAAGTCTCTGACAGATCCCAGACTATCCTCCTCCATGTTATAACCTAGAACATTAAAGTAGAGTCCACTCTTTATTCTGATTCTTGGAGGGCATACTTCTCCGGGCGAACTATAAAAGAGAGAATTCAATCCCATCAAGGTCAAATATAAGTACTAGTTTTTTGACCCAGACACAGGAGTGCATGCCCAACCTGTTCAGAGACTTTAGAAAAGTTTGAAATGGAGGAACAAATGAGAAAAGGGGACTACAAAATATATGGAGTCAGAGTTTGCATTGAGGCAGAAACTAAAAAATATGACATGATCTCTAGTGTACTTAGCTCTATAGCAAAACATTAGTCCCCTATGATACATTTATAACTTTAATAAGTTACGAAATAAATATATGAGTTTCTCTCTCATTTCTCCTCAAAGAAGGCTGACTCTGTGGCTCTCAGATAATGCAAAACAACCCAAAAAACATCTCAAATATATATATTTATTTATATTATTATTATATTATTATTATTATATTATTTATATATATATATTTATTATTTATATTATATAATATATATAGCCGGCGCTCTTGGCACCTCCACCCTGATGAGTACCCCCACAGCAAACCACTTGCTTTAGGGGCACTCGTGCATGCTCACTCCCAAGCCCTGCTCTGTGTGTCCATAAAGCACAAAGAGCAGGTCTCAGCTCCGCCTTTCATTCCTTCATCATTGGCTCTGATTGACAGCTGCTGTATCTGAGCCAATGAGGAATGAAACAGCTGAGATAGCCTCGGTTCTCAGGCACATCACTGGATCAAGAATGTGCTCAGGTATGTATTTAGGGGGCTGTAGGGGGAACTGCCTGCAGAAGGTTTTCTACCTTAATGCATAGAATTCAGTAAGGTTAAAAACCTTTTGCCTTTACAACCACTTTAAAGTGGAGTGTCACGATCCCACGATCGCTGCCACCAATATGTCATGATCGCGGCATCAGACCCCAGACCTTCTCACCCAAACTCACGACCGAACGATTAGCTGATCTAAAACCATGATGTGACGTGCGTAACAATGCCACACCCATCTGCACCCTGCACAACGACAATTATGCAATTAACCCTTCACACTGCCACCACCTCCTTTTTATACAGAGAAAGAGGAAACTCGGCGATATCAGCTATAACACTATAATGATCGAAATAATCAACTGCATAACACGGTCATAACACAGGCCTGTTATACAGAGGGTTAAACAAACAGTAGCGTTCTCTTTAGAGGCAGGGATTTGTAAATTGCAATACAGAGCTATAGAAACAGTTCAACACTTTCAGAAAGAAAGATTTATTACTAAAAGGTCAAACGGGTGCAATAAAAATATTTACAGGAAAAAGATGGAACTAAGATATATATATATGTATATATACATATACAAAGACCAACAGCACAGCAAAGAGATATCAGAGAGAGGTGAAAGGGTTAAGATACTTGCCAAAGTCCTGGGTTAGCAGATCCAAGTTTCAGAGCAAAAGGCAGGGGTCTTCCCAGGTGGTATTGATGTTAAAATGGGAGACATCTTCAACTTAACTTATCTTAGGCCTGACAGCCTGTTTTGTAGTCCCCAGCAGGGGGTGGCTCTGCAGTCAAGGACCAATCTCCACTTAGGGCGTGGAGAGATGGGTGGATGCCTCAACTAGAGCAAAAATCTCCCATAACTCATATTTGGCCTATAACTTTTCCTATGTACAAGTGACATCCCACCCGCGGGTAGATTATTATGCAGACAAGTCTGAGGATTGATTAGATATGAATTAAGTGTATGCTAAACGGTTCGCGAGATCTATTTTTCTGCTTTCCTGTGCGTCCAAGTGAGCCATCAAACTGCTCGCCTGCTCATCGTCCATCTGACAATATGTCCGGTTTTTATGTAAGTCTCTCATATTCCAGAGAAAAATGGATACTCTTAACAAAATGGCGGACTGCCTCAGTCTCTGTTGCGCACGTTTGCGACACAGAGCTCCACCCAAAAGGGGGAAGTTCCGCTTTAAGGCTTGCTCCCCCGCTCCCCATTAGGAATTGGCACCTTTGGGGGGCGGGGGGGAGCGGGTATCCGAATTTGACAGGTGCCCGCTCCCACTTCCGGTCCGATCGCCTAGGCGATCGGAAACGGAAGGTGCCCTCCCTCCCTTCCTCCCTATAGTCTTTTGGGACACGTCCCAGAAGACTACAGGACCATTCATGAAGCAAAGCGCTACTCGCGCCGCAAGCCGCAGGCTGTCACAGCCGGGTGCCCACACTGAAGATGCCGGCCTCCTGGAATACAGGACAGCCGGTGAAATGGGCTGCGGGGGACACACCGCGGGACCGAGGGACAGATGAGTAGCTGTTTTTTTAAAAGTCATCAACTACAGTTTTTGTAGCTGCTGACTTTTATTTTTTGACAGGGTGACTGGAACTATGCTTTAAATTCACCACTGGAAGTGCTATATCTATCTGTTAAGTGCAAAAATACCTGTTCATTTTATCAGAAATTTAGAGCTGTCCTGTGTTCAGCAATTCCTTTGTGAGTTATCTCAAGGAGAGTAATTAGCCCTGTGAAAGGATTAAGTTTGCCATATAATAATCGAAATACAGTATAGCTAGTTCAGCAAGGACCAGCCAAGTTTTGATCAGTGTTTGATCAACTTCTGTTGAATGGACATGCTGGAAAAAAAAATTTTTGTCAGTAGCTGCAGCTGCTGGTCAGTGTATTCTGACAGCGGCAGGTCCCACTGTCAGAGTACAAAGTCCTGGTAGGAGGATTCTTCCATCCACATTATTCGTGTAGATTGGAGCATCGTTTTTTTTGTGTTTTTTTTTTTTATCCAGCTAGCCAAACACAAATAAGTGAGAAAATAACTGTCTATGACCAGTCTTCGCCTTTATGTTGTGAAGATGAGAGAGGAGGTGGGTCTGAGTAGTTTGAAGAGAAGCAGGGCTGACACTACTCACAAAAGTGCTGTGGACCAGCAGATAGAGCTTTGGGCTGCTTTTCACATCTCCAGGCTCTCCCTTTGCTTCTTTGATGTAAAACACCTGTCGTTTACAGAACTCATCACTTGAGCACATTTTTATCAGATTGAAGTTTCAAACAGAAAAAGCCAGCCTCAAAGCAGGCAGCATCAGCTGTATTTTCTCTTTAGATAGTCTGTGGTCTTAAGCTGGTCATAGATGGATCGAAGCCAGTTGAGCAGGGACCAGCCAATATTTGACCCATC